GGGCATGCTCCAGCCCCCCCGGAGCCCAGGAGAGAACCCCGGAGCGCCGCCGCCCAGCCCTAGCGCCCCGAGCGGCCGATCCGACGCCCCCTCCTCGCAGGCAGCCCCCCCTCGGGGGTCGGCGACCAAAGTGTGGGGTTCTGAGAAGTGAGTGTCCCCCCCTTCCTCCCGCCCACCTCCCCGCATGAGATTTGTGGACTCCGAAGGAACTGGGGTTGGAGAGGATGCTGGGGTCTAGGATGGGGTGGCACAGGGACAGGGCCCCCCCTCCCCCCCATTTTTGCGTGAGTCCGCTGTGGCTGGCATTAGTGGACCGAGACGGCTTGTAAAGGGCCCGGGATGAGGACTGTGGTCTTTCTGAAGAGATGCTGGCTTGGGTGATAGGCCGTATTTGGGGAGGGGTTTTATTTTAGATCCTGGGAGGACAAGTCCATGATGGGAGGGACTGCACCCTGTTTTGGGGTCTGTGCAAGGGTGGGAGAGAAAAAGAAGACCCTAGCTCCCAGCTGCATCACCCAGTCTGTCTTTGAAAGAACTGACCGGCTCTCTGTCTCTGTCTCTCTGTCTCTCTCTTGCTGACCTTTCTGCCCTGCCTTCTCAGAAGAGCCAGCTTGGGATCCCTAACTGGACTGTTCTGGACCCCCGAGGAGGGACCTAAGGCCTGAGCCATCGCCTTTCTCCCTGCCTGCCCCCCAGGACTGGGCAATTGCCAAAGGCCCTGGGGGGGGGCCAGAACTGTGGTTGTGCCCCCCCCCAAACCTGGCAGGATGGGCCCCAGTTAGTTTGCTCAGCCTCATCCAGCCTCCTTCAGGAGCCCCAGGAGCTCTGAAGACCTGACCTGCTGCCTGCCCACCATGGAGACCAAGCTGCCCCCTGCAAGCACCCCTACCAGCCCCTCCTCCCCAGGACTGTCTCCTGTGCCACCACCTGACAAGGTGGATGGCTTCTCCCGCAGGTCCCTGCGCAGGGCCAGGCCCAGGCGTTCCCACAGCTCCTCTCAGTTCCGCTATCAGAGCAACCAGCAAGAGCTCACGCCACTGCCCCTGCTCAAAGGTGAGCTGGGAGCTGCTGCTGACTTCCAGGGTTCCTGAGCCTTGGAGGGGGGACCAGCATTGGAGAGGGGTGGTGGGAAGGGGTGAGATATAGCTGGCAGCTTGTCCTCCCAGGTGAGGGACTCGGTCAGAACTGACCCCAGCCCTCCAACCCTCTGCTGACGCATGGTCTGACTGGCCTGGAGGTGGGGCATCAGGAAGTGGCGCCACCCTGGGGGGCAGGCTAGGGCCAAGGGTGGGGCCCACAGCTTGGCTTCCAGGCGGCCACTATCAGCTCAACCAGCTGCCTGGCTTCTGGAGCAGGTGCTTGGCACGGCTCCCTGTCATCACCACATAGCCTCTACCCTCACCCCTGACGACTTCTCTACTTCTTGCTGGTAGACTGGGGCGCCATCTAGGAAAAGGAGGCATTGTCTGTTTCAGAAATATACAACCCTGCTTGTACATCAAGGATTTTGTTCTTGCTTTAAAAATCACAAAGTCTCTGAGCACGAATTAGGAGAGGGGTGAAGCTATATAACCTTCAGCCATCTAACCTGGGGGACCAGGAGATGTTTGCTCTCTAAACTACTTCCTAGGGCCTGGGGGCAGCAGAGACTGCTTAGAAAGCCAGCTGTGGGGATGAGGGAGGACCACCTGTACTCAGAGCTCTGGTAGTATGGCCCCCATCTCTCCCCAGATGTGCCAGCCTCTGAGCTGCATGACCTGCTAAGCCGGAAGCTGGCCCAGTGTGGGGTGATGTTTGACTTCTTGGACTGTGTGGCTGACCTAAAGGGGAAAGAGGTGAAGCGGGCGGCCCTTAACGAGCTGGTGGAATGTGTGGGGAGCACCCGGGGCGTCCTCATTGAGCCTGTCTACCCGGACATCATCCGCATGGTGAGCACTGGACCCAGCACACAAACCCTACTGACCCTCCTAAAAATCCCTGCACAGAGAATAAACCCAACACTCCTCAGTTTAATTTCAAGATCCATGTCTTCCATCTCCACTGAGTCCTATTGCTGTCCAGCACCCACTTGGGACTTCCTCTTCAGTCCACATTTGCACCTTTGCTTGTTGGAGCTGAGGGGGGTGGGTCCTTTTCTCCTGGGCAGCTTGCCTTCCTTGGACTGACTCAGGATTACCTCTCCAATAATGTCTGAGCCATACATTTCCCCTTTCTTACCCATAATGCCTTTCCTTTTTTTTTTTGTCAGTTGTGAGGCTTGAACTCTGGGCCTGGGTGCTGTCCCTGAGCTCTTCAGCTCAAGGCGAGTCCTCTACTGCTTGAGCCACAGCACCACTTCTGGTTTTCTAGTGTTTTTTTGGAGATAAGAGTCTCATGGACTTTCTTGCCCAGGCTGGCTTTGAACCGAGATCCTCAATCTCAGCCTCCTAAATAGCTAGGATTATAGGTGTGAGCCAGCAGCACCCGGCTCTACCCTTTACTTTTTTTTTTTTTTTTTGGTCCGATTGTGGGGCCTGAACTCTGGGCCTGGGTGCTGTCTCTCAGCTCTTCAGCTCAAGGTGAGTGCTCTACCACTTGAGCCACAGCACCACTTCTGGCTTTTTTTTTCTGCTTATGTGGTGCTGAGGAATTGCACCCAAAGCCTCATGCATGCAAGGCAAGCGCTCTACCACTGAGCCACCTTCCCAGCCTTACCCTTTACTTTTGACCTTATATCCCCTCTGGGTCCCTATCTAGAGTTATATTCTGTCTGCCCTTAGATTCCTTGCTCCTGACCTAAGACTTACTTTTGAACTAGGTTTTCGTTATGATTGTCCAAGTTCTAAAGTGCTTGCTGGAGCAGAGGGTGACCTGCTAGAATGTTGCACTAGGGATCCCTTCATCCTTCTGCTTTCATCCTAAAGAACCTTGACTTTGCCTTCCCACACCCTTCCAGATCTCAGTGAATATCTTCCGGACCTTACCACCCAGTGAGAACCCTGAATTTGACCCTGAAGAGGATGAGCCCAACCTTGAGCCTTCTTGGCCACATCTGCAGGTGTGAAGGGCTTGGGGGATGTAGGGGGTCTGCACTTCAAGGAAGTCTGAGGATCTTGGATTGGCAGGGGGGGGATGTTGGCTTGCATGAGGGCCCCAGGGTGGGGCGGCTGGGTGAAGCTGTGACTGAACTCATCTTTTTGTCTGTCTGCATTTTCTAGTTGGTATATGAATTTTTCCTGCGTTTCCTGGAGAGCCCAGACTTCCAGCCTTCTGTGGCCAAGAGATATGTGGATCAAAAGTTTGTCTTGATGGTGATGTGGGGAGCCCAGGCTGGGTGGTACTGTAGGTAGGGCATGGTGTAGAGTGGGAATGATTAGGGGTTGACCTTTTACTGGAGTCCCCCTCAACTCCCACAGCTCTTGGAGCTATTTGATAGTGAAGACCCCCGAGAACGTGAGTACCTCAAGACCATCTTACATCGGGTCTATGGCAAGTTCCTGGGTCTCCGAGCCTACATCCGCAAACAGTGTAACCACATCTTCCTCCGGTGAGTGGCTGCCTCTGGGGAGAGGAGAGCGCAAAGGAAGAAAAGAGGAGGTGGAGGGGAAGGAAGGGGAAAAGGGAGAAGGGAAAGAGGGAAGGAGGGAGGGAGAGGGAAAGGAAGGAAGATAGTGTTGAGATGTTAGGCTCCCGGACTGTGTGGGGTATGTATTTACCAAGTTCTCACTCCATAGCAATATTGATTACACAATGTGAGCATATGAAGTCAGCAGAAAATTAGTATTTATTTCCATTTGACAGATGACAAAATAGAGGCTAAGAGAGTAGTTTACAGGCACTAGGCCAGTCTAGGGAAGCCAAGGATGGAAATTTGATCCTTATGATGCTGTCATGTAAGGACCCAAAGAGATACTCTTTCTGCAAATGTATACTGAGCACAACACCCCCACTGGCTGACGGGAGCTTACATGACCTTTTGTTTTCTCTATCTCCCTCATGTCAGTATTGAGGCATGAATGCAAGGCCTGGGCACAGTTCCTTAGCTTTTTTGCTCAACGCTCAGGTTTTATCACTTGAGCCACAGCTGCACTTCCGGCTTTTTTTTTTTTTTTGATGGTTAATTGGAGATTAGGAGTCTCACAGACTCAGCTTCCTGAGTAGCTAGGATTACAAGCATGAGCTATTGGTGCCCAGCAGTGGACTCGTTTTAGAGATCATGGTTGTGGAGTTGGCCAGCCTGTATTTGAGTTTGGTTCCAGTACTTGAGTGGACTTGAAGAAATGGTTTAAGTGCTCTGCTAGTTTCCTCTTTTTCTTTCTTTTTTTTTTTGGGGGGGGTCTAGTCGTGGGGCCTGAACTCTGGGCCTGGGTGCTGTCCCTCAGCTCTTCAGCTCAAGGCTAGCGCTCTACCACTTGAGCCACAGCGCCACTTCTGGCTTTT